TGCAACGCTGCATACAGTCCATCCTAGGCATAAATCATCAGAGGGTCCACGACATATCTCCAGGCTGCTGTTACTCTGTTTGTCTCCCTAATTTCAGCAAAATCCACGAGGAAATGAGAAATTGGAAAGTTGAAAAGGGGGCAGCAAATATTCTGTGTCAAGCAGTCCCGCGGGTAGAGGATGAGCATTGCTGTAAATAGGAATGTTAAGGGAAGCGCGTTGATGCTAGAACTGCATTGCTTTTCCTGGGGAGACATGGACACATGTCCGCTCACCTCAGGTAGGGAATCCATGACACATTAGAGACACAATTCTGCCAAAGTCCAACCTGGTGAACCGATGTGGTTTTTAGGGTTACTTGGGGTAGCAGGAGTAACTCAGAAGTCGTTATGCCACTGGAAAACCTAGCCCAGCCCAGATTACAGCTAGTGAATACAGCCTGTCTGGAGCTCTGCACAATTCACAGGCTGCGTCACTGGTCAGAGAGTTAACGCCCAGCAATAGGTAGCACTTAGAAAAGTCTGGGGAAGGCTTTGTGAAGTTTGGGGAGCTTCTAAAGCCTGGGGAGTTTTGTTAGTTTCCTGAGTATTCATTATTTCCTTCCCGGAAGAAATGTTTCAGTTTAGAGGACACGGCTTCAAAACAGGAAGGATGGTCATATGGAGTGTGTAGAGTCCCAATAGGGCATAGATTTTAGGGGGAAAAAAACCCCTACTCAAAACAGAAGCATGCACAGGTATCTGCGTGCTGGAGACTTTGGATAGCAAGGGTAACCTTGCCTGTGCTGGTGGCAGTGTAGGCTGAGGAGTGGTGGATGATGCAACAAGTTGCTCGAGTAGGACACCGAATTGTTTTGAAGTACTTGCATTTTGGGTGGTTGTCATTCTCTCTGTTGTTTGAGTTAACAGAACAGAGGGTGCTGGGAAGGTGTGGCTCAGTGCGCAACAGCTCTTGCTGCACAACCATGAGGAACCGAGTTCAAATCTTGAGCATCGACACAAGAACCGAGGCCTGGCCACGTGTTCCTGGTACCCAGCATTGTAGGAGATAAGGACAGGAGGATTGCTAAAGTGTGCTGGCTGCTAGCCTGGCTTGAGGGTGAATGAGGGAAAGACCATGTCTTAAGGAGCTAGGTAGGACACCTGACACCTGGTGCCCTTGCTGGCTTCCACACAGACTCTAGTGAACACACCTTCATACATATGTGCACATAAACCACACACACCCATAAGTACACATACACGCACAAAATAAATAAAGACCTGAAGTAACATGTTTTAATAAACAATTCAATTTTGTGTACAGCAATCTTACTAAGTAAGATTACTATGCAGCTTAAGAAGTTCATGAGGCCATGGTAAGCCACCGCTCCTCAGCTTGCTCTTGAATATCCCATTGTAAGCATAACATTTAGTAGGAAGTAAATATCCTCATCCCACAAAGCCATGCCTATAAAATGACCTTAAACCTCGTAACTCACCTTTGCAGTCCCTTACAAGCCTGCAAGTTTGGTGCTGGTGCCCTGGAGTCTGCGTCCTCAGTACCATACTGCAGGGCTGGGAGCAGAGCTTGAATTTCCAGGGACTATGGGACCATTCATGGAGCCCTGTGATTCACCAACAAACACAGACATCCTCCAAGGGGACGTGGAGAGCAAAACTCTGAAGCACTTTGGGGTGGCTCAGATAAATAATCGTTTTAATTGGATACTCTCCGTGGACAGACAGACAGGTCCTGTGACTTGACAAGTTAGCTTTTCTTCTCCATTGCCTGTAATGGAAATGCATAAAGCCCACTTTAAGCAGCTCCCTCTTTAATGCCTTTAGTAGGTCTGGGTAGGTCTGCCCGCACACATGGGGCTGATTTCTGCCCAGCTTCATGTGGAACAAGCTGAAAGGGGCAAGAAAAATCCAACTGGGTCTTTTTTGATTTTCCAGGCATGATAATGAATACACCTCTTCTTCCTTCCCCCAAAACACCAAGAACTGTGAGCTGCTGTATGGTTTTTAAATAATGACCAGACATTGATTTGAACTATAACATAATTTCTCAAGTAACCTTTGGGATGGACACTAAGTCTGGGGCATCTGCTAGATGTTTTCAGATGCTGGGAATACCTGTCTCCTCTCTTGAAGAGGTGAAGGAACACATCTCCAGTATCAGTAAAATAAACCTGGCAAGGCTGTGCATGTGATCAAAGACAAATTGACCCTATCTGACAAATCAATCAAAGGTAATTAAACAGAGGCGATGATTTAAGGCAAGCCTGGAAAACTTTAATTACTTCTACTTTTTTTTCTTTTGCTGTTTTAAATTATAATAAGGATCTCCCACATAGGGACAGGGGGTCAAAATGATCACTTCAAATTGCTATTCATGTTTGCTGAATATCCTAATGGATGTGAATAAGTTGGGTCAGGGACTTATTTCCAGTAAGCATTAAGTGTTTAAAGAAACTAAAAGCTTGAGCAACAAGAGAATGATAAATCTGAGAAAGGAAGCAAGATTCTTACCCTGGCTGTTTCTAGGCCTGGTGAAGTGGTTAGGCTGTGTGTTTAACCGCCTATGAAGAGGCTGACCCCAGTGCAGGCCCTAGCAGACCTGGAAGGGCCCTGGAGAGCAGGGAAGGGACTGAAGCAAGGATTATGTGCTAAGAGGAAACATTATACAGAACTGAAGGGAAAACCGCAAGTCTCAGAAACCGCCCGCCATGTTGATTTTGAGAATGTCATCATTTATTGTGGGTTGTGAACATTATATGCTGCTTTCCTGCCTGACGATGGTGGATTTCTGAGTGTTCAGCCTTGACAGTGCTGGTAGACCTTAGCCCTCTATTCCCACAGTGGCTTCAGGGTAATTTCATCTGCTTCAGTGAGCTGCCGTCTTTCACATACTTCAAACACGTTACTTGTGGTTATGAGGTATGGGAGTCTCAGAATTACCACAGGGAAGGGAATTTTATACAATGAATCAGAAATGCAAGTCATGGTCTGGAGAGATGACTCAGCAGTTAAACTTGAAAGGACTTCCTACTGTAGCAGAGAACCTGGGTTTGGTTCCCAGTATCCATAGGGAGGCTCCCAATTGTCTGTAACTTCAGTTTGCAAGGTTCTAGTTCCTCTTCTGACAACCATGGGCACCTGCACACACGTGTAAATATACACACTCAGCCGCAAACACGTACACATGAATAAACATTTTATTTGTACAGATTCTTTCATACCTTAGGTTTCAAAAAGTAAAATTAATCCCTTGGGTTGTCTTAAATATAAACTATTATTTAATTTTACGTAATAGAGAAAAATGGTTAGTGTTTCTCTTCTCTCTCCATCAATAAACTAATACACGGCCCCCTCAAGCTCATCAGTCATGAACAGCAAAGTGACGCTAGCCTGTTGATTAATTTGGGATAAATCGAAGAAACCGATGCAGGGGGAGAACACTGAGTGAGCTGAGACTTTAATAACCACGGGAATTTCATGGGAAGTCTCGTGAGAAAGAGAGAGCTTGTCTCTGCTGTGTTCACCGCTGAGCTGTAAATAGACTGTTTATCTGCATCTCCATGTTAATGTCTAGAGAATTTATACTCTAAATTTTTTGTTTCCTGGTTACCTGAAATCTTATCAACAACAAAGACTTATTTACAAGCACTTGCTAAGCACTTTCCTCGTGTGATTCTGTCTGATTCAAGCAGCAGTTCCTTTGAGGTAAAATTACTAGCAGAATTTTTCAGCCGAGAGAGGGAACAGAAGGAAGAGTTGAACTGCGGTGGGACACAGCAGACGGTGATTGAGTGGCCCGCGTGTCGCTTCGCTCACTTCCCTGCGGTCCCGGTGACAGCTCAAGATCTGCCTTGATTTGATGCTGGAGGAAACTGACCATAGATGCTTTTGTGTTCATCCTCCCCGTGACATGATGCGATGCATCCAGGGCAGGCACTCAGGTTTCTGGGTTCCGAGACTGAGAAGTCTGCTGTACTCGACTTCCCTAGAAACCAGGGAACCTGAGCGCTCCTGTAGAATTTGATCTATCGAAGAACTCGGCCATTGGGTTTTTCTTGCTATTAACTTTAAACTTTGCAGGTGTGTGTGTGTGTGTGCGTGTGTGTGTGTGCGCATGTGTGTATATGCTTGCGTGTGTGTATGTGTGTGCGTATGTGTGTATATGCATGTTCATGTGTATTTATGGATGTGTGTGAATGTGTATATATGTATGTGTGTGCACATATGTGTCTGTATTCTTGTGTACATGTGCACATGCCTGAGGGCACACTTGTGTGGGGGCCAGAGAACTCCCTTAATATTGCTGAGTAGGCAGAGTCCACCTTATTTTGAAATAAGCTCTCTAATTGTCCTGGAACTGGCCGAGTAGGCTAGGCTGCTCAGCTAGTGAGCGCCGGGGGGACCTGCCTGTCTCTGCCTTCCCAGTTCTGGGGTTACAAATGTGTGCTCCTTCTTATGTGGTTTCTGGGGATCAAGCTCAGGTTTCTAGGCCTGCACATCAATCACTTTGTGGCAGAACTGTCTCCCTAGTTAGCAAGCATCTAGGATTTTAGTTTCTTTTGACAACTAGAAATTAGATATTCCTAGGACACTCCTTTATTGCCAGGGGTCATCAGAATTGGCCATACTTAGCAGAGTTTCCCATAGTATTCTGGTTTACTTCCCAGATGTTTCTGTTCTGATGATCTCTGGGCTCACTGAAAATTTTCTACTTTCGCATTTGAGGTTTCCGGCGTAGCGTGGTGAGTGGGCTGCCTCTTTTGCTTCTTGCTCTTGGTGCCTGTGGGAGCGAAAGTCGTCAAGATGTCGCTTCTGTCTCACGGGGCTTTGACAGGGAGAGCCGCTCCCCAGCACAAGTGACATTTCAGATTCACGAAGGCAAGCCAAGTCATAATTGGCCCTGTCACCATTTGAGGTTGACACTGGCACCTCATGTGTTTGCCCTGGTTGAGTAATCTGTTTGTGTCTGAGGAGGCCACACACAGGCAGATGTGAGCTGTGTTTACATTCGTTTTCTGCCTGGAAACTTGGTTTCTCTGGGTCAGAGCTTTGGAACGACTGACGGATTGGAAATTCACTGGTACAAACTCGGTCATAAAGGCTTCCCTGGAGCCGGACGACTGGTAGTCGACCTGCACGACTTTCTCCGGGTTTCAGCACAGGGGACGTCCGACTGACAGCCGGGCGATGACAGCAACAGCGTGAGTGCCACGTCTGTGTGTTCTCAGGACACTGAGTCATCCCCTTTTATGGATGAGAGGATTGAAACTTGGAACTGTTTAAAAAGATAGGGTAGACTCTGTCAACAGCATTGGGTGGTGTTGCATGGCTGAAATCTCAGTCACTTAGGAGGTAACTGGGGGAAAATCAGTCTGGACGATTTAGAGAGACCTTGTCCCAGAAAAGACCAAGGGAAGAGGAAGGTGAGAGAGAAGACATTTCTGGTCCCTCAGTCTTTGTGTGTGTGTGTGTGTGTGAGAGAGAGAGAGAGAGAGAGAGAGAGAGAGAGAGATTTGGTTCTGCAATTCTTGAGGGTGAACTTTGTGGATGAAAACATTGTGCTACAATGTCAAAAGGTTGTAGGCTGGCTGGGAAGACAGCTCAGCAGTGCAGAGTACTTGTTGCACAAGAACAAGGAGCTGAGTTTGGATCCCAGGACCCACACAGGGAATCATATGCATTTCCACACCCATCTCTAAGCAAGCACTGGAAGGAGTAGCAGTGTGATGATTTCTGAGGAATACTAGCTGCTGGCTCAGCTGAAAAACACATGAACTCCAGCCAGGGAGGGACCTCTCAAGGGAATAAGGAAGAGAATGGGACAAGAGGGCACTTGATGCCATCTGGGACATCTGTGTGCATGCATAGATGCACATATTTGCACATTCACATGCTCATATACCACATTCACACACATGCATTCACATACACAAACATTGGGTACACCTGGTATACAAACATGTTCCAATTTTAGGATTCCTTAAGGCACTATCAGCATTATAAACACACCCAACGCATCAGCCCTATCCATCCATTCAGGAGGGACAGCACCTAGAGACTATTGAGGACAAGTAGATTTGGTGGGGGAGAAAGAGAACTAATGCAGAATATGGAAGGAAGATGCTAAGCTGCCGTAAGAGCAGAAACTAATAATTCTCTTTAATATTGAGCTACTCAGACATTAATAAGCATACCAGGAGACAATCTTTTAATTGTATAGTGTGAGCAAGTCAAACACCCAATGATAAACTCAGTGCAAACTTGAGCACAGTTTGGGAGAGCGTGTAGGGTTTGTTATGTGTCTGTAAAGGAAGCTCAGACGGCCTTTCTTTTGTATTATCAATGCAAAACTTAGCTCTTACCTCCAAAAGAGCAAGAGGTGGTTTATTAGTGAGCCAAACCAGAGTGACCATGGTTCAGGAACATGGATTCAGTTCACCTCGCATAACATGTTCCAACGTGGAAACAGCTTCATCATCTTACAGCAATAGAACAATGGAATATCCTAAGTGGAAGAGTTGAAAATACCTTGATGAAAGTTCCAGATATGCAGCTTACAGTAAGATGGAGAAAGCTCCACTGCAGCCCTCAGATGCTATCTGACGACACTCTTGTCTTTGGGAGCTGTAGAAGCCAGTGGTCTGCTGTTACACTGTTACATTTCAAAGATTTTGCTTGGTAACCTCAAAGGTATTAACTCTAAAAACAGAGGCGGGCAGTGAGTGGGTGCTGAGGTAGTGAAGGAGATCCAGAGATTTTCTCTCTAGATCTGACGTTTTTCAACTATCCAGGATCAAGAAGTTCCAATTAGTCCTCATATGTTCTTAACCTAGGTATCCTAGTTTCTTCATTTTGTGATAAAATAGCGACCAGAAGAAACTCAGGGGAAGAAAAAGCTTATTTATTTCATCTTTCCCTTCTATGTCTGTCATTGAGGGAAGTCAGGGCAACAACGCAAGAACTTGAAGCAGATACCACTGGGGAGGATGCTATTTATTGGAACAAGTGCAGACTCGTGCTTAGCTAGCTTTCCTATACAGCTCACGATGACTCGTCAAGGGAATGGTTCTGCCCACAGTGGACCAGGTATCCTACATCAATTAACAGCCAAGACAATTCCCACAAATATATTCATAGGCTGTCGTGAACTGGGCAACCCCTCAGTTTGGGACTCCCTTCTCAGGTGATGCTAGGCTGTGCCATGTTGACAAAGCTATAGGCAGGAAGTGTGTCTTTTTTGTCCCATGAGGCAAAGATAAAAGCAACATAAAATAGCGTTTTCATGCTTTGATGGTATTCATGCATATGCAGAACTCTGCAGGCATTTCCAACCTTTTAACACCAGGATAAGACAATCATTTTCAAAGTTTACATTCAGGTACACAGAGTTGAGTTACACACACAGACAGAGAGAGAGAGAGAGAGAGAGAGAGAGAGAGAATAACATCTCACAATGTTTTAAGTCAGTTTGAAATTCTGTGTTGGGCTATATTCGTAGCTGTCCCAGGACACATGTGGCCTGTGAGGTGTACATTGAATATGACTGACTGAGAGTGAGTGAGTGTATTGGCATGTATTGCCTCTTCTTTTTCCATGATTGTCTTTGGGTGGACAAGACGTTGATGGTCGGCACAAGCAAACGTTCCATAGGTGGTGTAGGCGGCGGTCTTTCTCCCTTGTTGCTTGGGAAAGCTAGAAGTTTCTCCCATAGAGAATTGCACAAAACTTGTCTGCATTGAACAGAGCCAATAGTATTTCACCATGAGACCATCAGACAAGCTCTCTCTTGCTGCCAAAACCACGCTCACTGTTATGTGCCGATGTGGTGGTTAAGGGAGGACTTTAGGTGTCCCGCACTGTTACTCTCTGCTTCATTTCCTCTAGACAAGGTCTCTCGCTGATTTTCAGCTGGGTTGGCTGGCCTGCAAACCCCAACAACTGTCTCTAGTCCTGCTTAGCACTGTGGATAGAGGTGCATGCTCAGTTTTTACCTACGGGGTAGTGATCTGAACTCAGGGCACCGGGCTTAGCTGTCTCTCTAGCCCACTGTACATCCACTGTCAATTTGTCTTCTCCATGGACTTATGGGATTGGTGGAGGAACCGTTCCTACCCACAAGAGATGAAAGTTGGTAGCTGAGCCTGAGCAACTGTGACAGGTACCTTTGTGTGCAGTGCTCAGGAGTTTCTTCTGCAGTCTGTTTTTTCCCATGCTTTTCTTAATTCCAACTTTGTTCCCAGTCAGTGTGGCAGCTGTTTGCAGTTCATCTGTGGATGACTTGACCATTGCTCTGTCTGCTCGTCATTGTAACTTCTTCAAATTTCCACCTGACAGGGGACAATTCTAGCCTGGGCTCTGCAAGTACTGGACTCTCTATTCAAATTTAGAATTAATTTTAGTATGCTTCTATGGCATCTGGAATTTCCACTATGTCCAGAATCACAAAATCACACCATGCTTTCTTCTCCTTCCTTCGTTCCTTCCTTTGTTCCTTCCTTCCTTCCTTCCCTCCTTCCTTCCTCTTTCCTATCTCCTGTGTCTGTCTGTCTATCTATCTATCTATCTATCTATCTATCTATCTATCTATCTATCT